GAGTGGTTCTGTTAGCAGAGTGGTTCTGTTAGCAGCATGGTCCTATTAGCAGAGTGGTTCTGTAGCAGTGTAGTTCTGTTAGCAGTGAAGTTCTTTTAGCGGCATGGTACTGTTAGCAGTGAGGTTCTGTTAGCAGCATGGTCCTATTAGCAGAGTGGTTCTGTTAGCAGCATGGTTCTGTTAGCAGTGAAGTTCTTTTAGCGGCATGGTACTGTTAGCAGTGAGGTTCTCTTAGCAACATAGTCCCGTTAGCACCATGGTCATATTGCAGAGTTGTTCTGTTAGCAGAGTGATTCTGTTAGCAGTGATGTTCTCTAAACAACATGGTCCTGTTAGCAGCATGGTGGCGTTAGCATTGTGGTTCTGTTAGCAGAGTGGTTCTGTTAGCAGTGTGGTTCTTTTAGCAGCGTGGTCCCATTATCAGCATGATGATAGTAACAACCACAGCAATGGACAATGACTTGCCCTCCAGAACTGAGCCTGGCAGACACAGAACATCCAAGGTTTCCTCGCAGAACCGAACTGTTCTCTAGAGTTTGGTTCATGCAGACAAATGGAGGATCGTGGAGTCAGCCACCATGACAGTCTGATGGAGCTGAAAGTGGAAGCAAACAATGAGCTAAATATAAAGTTTCAGTGAATCTGTCCATCCAACTTTAATAAAGTTTTTAAAAAAATCAAACGTTTATGTAAAAATACAGTTTTGTGTTCTCGTTGTCTGCATCATGGAGCTCAGCTACAACTAGAGTGAACTTCAGAGGTCCAGACTTGGTCCTGAATGTCGGCTCCTGCTGTCCACCCGAATGTTTATAGGTTAAACTGCGGCAAACAAAGTACTGTTTGTGCTCCGATCTGATTTGCAGAAAGCATCTTGTTGAATTAGCTTCTTGATTCCGTGAGGATTAAGTTTGTCTCTGTGACTGAGTGTAATCAGCTTTAAGACAATCTGTTTCTTCTTGACCTTTGTATCCCTGGTAGGTTTGTTTCCGACCTGCTGCATGAAATTAACGCATCATATGAAAAAATAATTAAAGCACTTTGTCTTAGTATCTTTTTTATATTTTATTTTCTGCAGCAAGGGACCCAAACACGAGTGTCCGGACTATGCTTCTGCTGGCCCCAACAGCTGCCACTTTGACAGCAGCCATACGTCCATCTGGAAGATCTACTGCATGAATGTGACGGCCATCACCACCCGCAGGAACTACACCTCCCAGGAGCACTGCCTGGACGTGGCCGAGATCGGTTCGTTCCATTTTAATTCACAGAAATCGTCTTTCTTCAACATCAAACCAAGAGTTAAATGTGGGGTGAAAAGAAATAAATAAAGTTTCAGGTTGTCTGCTGCCTGCAGAGCATCATTCTGGGAGCGCCAAACGCCTTCAGGACTCGTTAGCTTTAATTTATTCTGGTCTCTGAGAGGTGATGAGGGGGTGTGAGAGGATGTTAGTCTAATATGTGCTGCTTCCAGCCTGAAGTAAAACAAAAATGGTTTTAGCTAATTTAGACAATTAACAGACAAGATAACAAACTGTTTCCAGAATGTCATAAAGGACAAAGTCGGTGCATCAAAAAACAAACAAAATTATGAACACAGCATTCAATATAAACAGTGACAGCTGAGTTTACTCATACTTGCTAAAAAAAAAAAACCCACTGAAACTGAGATTTTTTAAAAGTTAAAATAAGTAGAACTGAAGCTAAAAGGAGCTAATCCGAAGGTGAAAACTTCTAAAACTAGTAAAACTTAAGCAGCAAAATGCTAAAAGCTAAAGGTTGAAAAGGCTGTGTAGAAGTAGCAAAAATTCAAGGCGTTAAAACAGCCAAAGGCGTTGGAGAACAAAGCAGCAGAGCATGTGAAACTCAGAGCACGGTAAAGGAGTTCCGTACGTACTTGTGGACAGGATGATTATTGGTACGAAATGTCAACCTGTCAGCATGCTTGTGAGAAAAATGTTCAATTATGGCTCAGATTCTTCCTCAAACGTCATTTAGAAAGAAAAAACATGCAAGAAACGGTAAAATAAAACAAGTTTTAAATGATCCCGTCTCTTCAAATTAAATGCAACAACCATCGTCTTGCATGTCAAACTTTTAAACAAAGCCCTTGAGTGATCTGATAGCTCTTGGAGAATGGGATGAGGATGACTCTCATCTACTACCACACCAGACTTTATTTCCTTATCTGTAAAACTACACAAGCTAAAGCCTTTTAGGTGTTAGTCAGTGTCAACTAGCTGTGGTCAAGTTGATGAATGGCAATGTTGAATAAAGGTTTGATAAAAGGAAATGATTGTAAGATTTAAACTTTTGTTTAATTTATTAGGTTTAATGATCATTTTTCCACTTTCGGGCATAAAATTGGTCCCACTTTGGTACAAGTGGTGAAAATAGAACAGTCAGAGCAGCATAAACATGTCAGAGTACTTAAAAATGCAGTGCCAGAGCAGAGTGGGTAAGACACAATATCAGAGCAGTTAAAGCACAACATTAGAAGGCTAAATACTCTACTTCAAAGCAGAAAACGTGTCCAAGCAGTAAAAGCACAACATTGAAGCAATCAAAGTAATAAAAACACAACGTCAAAGCAAAGTAATAAAAACACAATGTCAAAGCAGTCAAAGTAGTAAAAACAACGTCAAAGCAGTCAAAGT